TTATTTAACATTAAGAACTCTCTTCCATAAAAATGGAGAGTCTTTTGGTGTGTGTGTGTGGCGTGCGCGCGCACGCTCATGCATGTCTGTATTTTAAATAAATTTAGCCCATACCTTCTCTTTTGTACATTATTACTTAGGCTTCCAACCTCAGAGCTTCATGTCTCTTGCTCAAGAAGCTCAGGAAATAGGTCAGATTGGGTTTTTCTGGAGGACTATGTACTGGTCCCTTACTTAACACAAACTCCTTCTAAAAGCCCTTCATCTGTTCTCCAAATAATATAGGCAGGAGCATTCATTGGGGAGGGGGGAGGTGTTACACTGCATTCCATTTCATTTCTCCTTATCAGTGTTACTGGTTTCTACAAAGGACGCCGAGGACATTGGATGTAAAAGTGGCTACTTACTCCAATGCAACACTTGGCAAGAAATAGACTTGCTTCTTGTTTTTAAAAATCATTTACTCAATAAAATCAATAAAACAAAAAGTAAGTTCTTGTAACGGTCTGGGGAAAGAAATTCCCAGGGATCCCTGGTGTTTTTAGAGCCTCTTGGCTGAGAAGTTTATGTCCCTCTCAAACTTTTACTTCTCCATTAGCAGCAGCCTTGTTATTATGCACTGCAAGTGATATCCATAACATTGAATGTATTCCATTTCAACAAATATATGGCTTTTAATCAAATAAAATATAATGCAAACTAGTTCTCCATTTCATCTGTTCTTTATTTTCTCCTAATTTATAATCAGGAAATCTATCCGTACATGGCATATAATTTTCCCTCTTTCTAGTGGCTTGTGGGACATAGCATTGTGCACACAGTTGCATTTAAATTGATAACCGTCCAGGCAAAGTGTAATTTTAAAGGACAGGCTAAAGAAAGGTTTAATCTCTATATTAGAAGGGCTGAGTCAATTTCGTTGCTGCCGGGTTTTCCTCTGCCTCCGAACTTAACAGAGACTTTCAGGACATTTAACTTTAAGGTGCCTCAGTTGAAGCCAGAGCCTTTAACAGAGGATGCGGTTTAAGCATCCAGATTAAATGCAGACTCCCCTCTGCTACAGGCCACATGCATGTATTCATCATGGATTTTCAAATGATGGGTTTATATATCATTGGTTTTGAGTCTACAGTCTTACATTCCAGGATCCGTCCTCTGCCAAAAGCGTAACGATTTGGTGGCTGGAAGGAGAAACAGTCATTATATGGCTCCAAATTGCCAGCTGGCATAACGTGCCAAGAACAGCAGAAATCCACTGGTAAAGAGAAGATTGCAATCGCTCTTTAAAATAATTTGATGCTCTAAAAATATAAATGCAGGAAATGTCATCACGTTTCAAAATATTTTACGATCATGGATAAATACATAAAAAATTACATGACTGGTATCTGTAAGTGGCACAGTCTAAAAATGATGGGAAGGCATTACCAGTGTTAAGTTGTATTTTACAAACTGCTTTAATTTAATATATTGGCGGGTTTTAATGGAAAACAAGTATCTCCCCATCACACCCTTTATTTCTTAAAAAGAAACATATAGAAGTGAGACTGCTAGATTTTACAGACAAGTATTTTTAATACAAGATAAATTGTATATTTGCAAGCATATTTATATGCATGTAAAAAAGAATCCTGTACTGCACAATGTACTGAACAATTGATTGCCATTTTTTGAGCTTATTGATTGGGTTTATATCCTACTTTCCTCACTATTCTTGTTGCAACTCTAAAAGCATTAACAATTGTGTCATCTTAATTATTTTTACAATATTCAGACTTAAGTCCAATTCTGATGAATTGAGTTGCCTCCTATTGTAGCATGAGCAAATTAAATAGCTGATTATTAGAAAGTTAAAAATGAATCTGTGCTATTGTGCTTCACATTATATTTATTTACAAGTTTTGTGTATACACTGAATCTGTGAGCAAGTGAAAGAAATTTTATTTCCTCATAAATTGGTGGTTTCATGCCATGGTGCCACTTTTTATATACATTTTATTTTCAGTAATACTATTGGTATTGCATGCTTAAACCATGTCACTAAAGGTTAACTATTTCAGTGGCCTTAAAAATGAGATCTTAAATCTAAGAGTTCCAGCCACTTATTGCGATGTTAGTATAGCAGGTGCCCTTTTTGGTTACTGATACTGCAGAAGAATGAAACTCTCTCAAATAAGAGAGTTGAAAAACTACTGCCCTTGTGAATAAGTTCAGTAGCTCCTCTGTTTCCTCTTCCTCTTCCTCTCCTCCTCCTCCTCCTCCTCCTTCTGGTGCTGAGAAAGGCTGCTAATTGCAGTGCTGTGCCAGCATTATCATTGTGATTATTGCAGTTTCAAACGGGAAGCAGCACTGCTTCTGAAAGCACCAAATTAGCACAATGTGAAGATGCCTGTATGTCAGGATGTAAAGCTACAAGTGCAGAGATGACATGAAGGGGTGTGTTCAAAATCAGAACCAACTCCTGCTGAACTCAGCATTCAGGATTAGGCTCTGAAAGGGGAGGAAGGGATTGAGGATGAAGCATTTCAGAGGCTTCTGAGTCCTCCTCCGGTTTGTTTGCTCCTTCTTCTTTCTTTTCTGGAAATTATAGCCTTGCTGCACTTTCTTTTGTTTCAAAACAAAAAAGCCTAAAGTGGGGGAATAAAGTGAGTCAAGCTAAGCAGAATTCTCTTGCATTTGTCCATAAAACAGCCCCTTTTATCATGGTTTGCTTTGTTCTTTCTTTTTCTATTTCCCTCCCCCCACCTCCCCAGCAATATCATCTGACGTTGGTTTCTTTCTTCTGTGTAACAAGCATTTGGTAATATCCAGTTAAATATTCAATATTGTACAACCAGCATGCAGAATCCAATCAACCCTCGCCTCGGGTAGCTCAGGTTTTTCTCCAGGTCACCAGATTTTCTGTTGGGAGCCTAAAATATTAAAAGAGCAATGTCAAGGAGTCTTATTGTTTATGTTATCATCCCATTCTTTTTTAAGTGTACCGCTCCTTACTCATCTGCCCAGCAGACTTGTGGTGTAGGTTAGATTCAGAGAGTGAACTTCTTAGCTGACTGGTGATTTGGACTGAGATGTCTTGCTTTTCCTGCACCTCCTTCATTCACACACAGAGACACATCATTCACTTTTTCTGTTGAGTATGGAAAGATACAAGAACAATAGATCTTTTTTGAGATATAGTCTATGAAGAGCAAACTGTGCCTCAGTATGAAGAAAAATAAATGGGGCTGGCTTAACTCAAAACATGGCTTGATTTTTTTTTTAAAAAAAAATAGGCTTTATTTATAAAAAGCACATATAATCATAGCTCTTTTTCCAAATCCTTACATCTATGTAGCCAAAGTTGCACCATCTAAGCATTAGGGGTAGATTAAGGAAAATTCAAGATTTGGAAGTATACAAAAGTTTGTGGGTGTACAGAAACCAAGACAACCCAATTAAGTTGAATACGGAACATGGACCAAAGATTGGGGGGAGAATAGTAAACTAGAGGCAGGGGAAATGGATTGGAATCCATTTGAAAGTTGATTCGGTTAGAGCACTATTTTGTTGTTATTATTGTGAAATGTAGTGTGAAATTTATAAAAAGTTTTGTATTTTAATTGCAATTGCTTTTGTTCTTCTTTGGGTGCTTCCCATGAAGCAGGAATAGGCAACAAGAGACTCTAGAAAGGTGTGCAATCCTTAGATCTTTTCTTTTGTTTCCAGATTCCCTCTCACCATAATGACTGAAAATTGGAGGACCAAAAGCTTTAATTTAAAGCCTAAAATAGGCGTACAGGTAGTCCTCAACTTATGACAATTGAGCCCAAAATTTCTGTTGCTAAGCAAGACAATTTAGTGAGTGTGCCCCATTTTCTGAACTTTCTGCTACAGTTGTTAACTGAATCACTGCAGTTGTTAAGTGAATCTGACTTCCCCATTGACTTTGCTTGTCAGAAGGTCGCAAAAGGTGATCCCATGGTCCCCAGAACGCTGTGACTATCATAGATCCATGCCAGTTGCCAAGCGTCAAAATTTTGATCACGTGACCATGCAACGGTCATAAGTTTGAAAAATGGTCATAAATCACTTTTTTCAGTACCATTGTAATTTCAAACAGTCACTAAATGAATGCTTGTAAGTTAAGGACTACCTGTAATCTCGGTCTGAAACTCTCACAATATTCCTCACAACTCAGCAAAACCAGAATGTTTTCTAATCTGCCCATGTGCATGATACAATTGTGCTCAGTTTACATATCATATCACCCATTTCAGAGCTTGCCATGCAAAATAGAGTAAAGTGTGTGTGTGGGTCCAACCCATCAAAAGGTAGCCCACCCCTCAGAAGATTATCAAAATACAAATTTGAAAATGAATAATCATCCAGACCCATTGTTCTACGTGTTAACTAGTCTATAGTTTCATAGAGGAATGGCTTGATCCAAACAATTCAAATAATTGTTGTCTCCTGCTACTATTCAGCTGGGAAATACTCTTTAGGATGCTTCCCTATGCATACCACATGAAATGAAATGAAATGCTGTTTATTCAGACAATGACCAGCAAAATTTGAAAAAAAATACAAAGAGATAAAATACTAGCATAACAAAGATAAAATGGCAAATAAAAATTAACATACACTACTGAAATGATATGTTAGTTTAAGTTTAAAATATTGCAATCCATGTCACCCTAGGATGATGAAAAGAGGTTATTCAAGCAACTAACAAGATCAACTGTCTTCTATTTTGCTACCCTTATTATTATTTTTTAAAAAAAGATGCCATCCCATTGATTCATCACACACCACCTTCCTTTTCTAGGCACCTTCCATATGTGTTGAGTTTGTAACTTCCCAAAATCTCAGCCAGCTTGGGGAATGCTAATGTGGTACACATATGTTGAGGTTATTGAAAAGAAGAACAATGTTTCCTGAGGGTATTTCAGGTTAATCTACATATCTAGGAATCCATTGTTAAACCTGCTTTTGTTTGTCTTTCTTTGCAAAATGAACAGGGAATGGGTATGGCAACCCACGGAACTCCCCAGGTCTGCTGGTCTCACCTGGCAACTTGAACAAGAATATGCAAGCAAAGTCTCCTCCACCCATGAATTTGGGATTGAATAATCGTAAACCAGACCTACGAGTGCTGATCCCACCGGGAAGCAAGAACACAATGCCATCTGTGGTAACACATTCTTTTCTTTCTTTCCCTTCAAAGATACAAAGGTTCCAGTAGGCTTTAGAAAGTTTAGATTAACCTAATGGCAGGAAATTATTTGCTCAAGAACATTATTCAAGGCTCTCACTCTTAAACTGAAAGAGTTTCCAGCCAGATTTAGTTCAAAGATGAATAGTTTAATGTATTAGGTCTGCACTGGTGAAAAAACAAATTGGTTTGTTAATCAATTTAATGAGCTCTCTAAAAATTTACCAAACAGCTTTTGCTAACTGTCAGTCTCCAGACATAAGTTGACATTGCAGTTCCCAGAATTTCCAGCCAACATGCCAAAGGCTGAGATTTGCAATCCAAGTATAGTTTGACAGTATTTGTTGGGGATGGCAGGGGATTATTAAATTATTAAAGTCTGCAGGATGTTTTGGCAAGATTCCTAATAATGCACTATAGGAATGGAAAGCAATTCTCCGGTAGATTTACCGGGATGAGATTTTGAGATATTGCTCCAGATAAATTCATGGTAGAATGAATACTAACTACAATCAGAGTCCTACCCAGATTCATCCTTCTCTCAACCAATAATTCCTCCTAAGGTCTAATATTATACTTATTTCTTTAAAAAGTTAAGTAGGTTGCTCGAAAACAGCAATGCCATGATTTTAAAAGAAAAAGCTTTTAATAGAGTTTATTTTAATCCATTTGGCAGATAGAGACTGGCTTCCACAAAATAACTGATTATATATAAATTATTCAGTTATTTGTCTTTATTACCCTTTTAATAAACCTGCAAATTATGTAGGTATACTTTTTTCCATAATAACAGTTCAAGGATGCAAGATTCACACTTTCAATATTTAAGCAAAAAATGAGAAAGAGTTGCCCCTAATGCACTTAATGTATGTTGTAGCATTAGTTGGTTCAGACACAGTTCAGAAAAAAAACCCAAGGCAAAGTACATTTTCTTGCATGCTCAGAATGATTGCAGCAAACCCTGGTGTTTCACTGTATCTTCCATAGAAGTAGCAAGAGAGGATTCGCGCTTCCTTCTATTTCTAGAATTCTTCAGAAGAGGAAGTGCTTAGCTTCTCTGTGCAGTCTGGTTCTTTGCTAGGAAAATCTATACATCTGCATGTGCCTTCACAGTATTTCACTGTTTCTATGCTGTGACTGAACTAGGCACATGTCCTTAACCATTAAGGTTTGGAGGGAGGGATATTTTGGCCAGAAGCTTTTATGTATTTTTATTAGTGGTGGTAGGGAACCTGATGTAAGTGATACCTGCCACTTAAATAGAGGCAACTTAAAATCACATGCAATAAATGAATTAAATTCATAAAAATATTGTTAAGTGTTTTCAAATACAGTATTTAATACTTTGTAACATTTAAGAATAGAATAGAGCTGGAAGGGATCTTGGAGGTCTTCTACTCCAGCCCCCTGCTCAAGCAGGAGAACCTATACCATCTCAGACAAGTGACTGTCTAGCCTCTTTTTAAAAATCTCCAGTGATGGAGGGCCCACGATTTCTGGGGACAAGCTATTCCACTGGTTAATTGTCCTCACTGTCGGGAAGTTCCTCAATTCCAGGTTGCTTCTCTCTTTGATCAGTTTCCAACCATTGTTTCTTGTCCTGCTCTCTGGTGCTTTGGTGAATAACATGACCCCCTTTTCTTTGTGGCAGCCCCTCAAATACTGGAATACTGCTATCATGTCTTCCCTGTTTCTTCTTTTGTTTAGACTAGCCAAACCCAAGTCCTGCAGCTGTTCTTCGTATGTTTTATTCTCCAGGCCTTTGATCATCTTAGTTGCTCTTCTCTGGATTTTTTCCAAACTCTCAACATCTTTTTTGTGATTTGGTGACCAAAATTGGCTGCAGTATTCCAGGTGTGATCTTACTAGGATTTTATAAAGCGGTACTAATACCTCGTGTGATCTTGATTCTATGCCTCTATTTATACAACCCAGGATTGTATTAGGTTTTTTGGCTGCTGCTGCACACTGCTGGCTCATGGTTAAGTGATCATCCACTAGAACTCCAAGTTCTCTCTCACAGTTACTGTTTTTAAGCCAGGTCTTGCCCAATCTGTACTTGTACCTTTGTTTTTTCCTGCCTAAATATAAAACTTTGTTTTTCTCCACACTGAAACTCATTTTGTTGGATAGGGCCCATTGTTCAAGTTTGTCAAGATCTGTCGGATCCTTAGTTGGTCTTCTGGGGTGTTGGCTATTCCTGACAGTTTGGTGTCATCTGCAAATTTGATGAGTTCCCCTTCAATTCCCTCATCTAAGTCATTGATGAAGATATTGAAGAGTACTGGGCCTAAGACAGAACCTTGTGGTACCCCACTGCTTACTTCTCTCCATGTGGATGTAGTGCTGTTGAGGACTACTCATTGAGTTTGGTTTGCCAGCCAGCTACAGATCCATCTGGTGGTGATGTTGTCTATTTTTTCTTTTTCTAGCTTACTAAGGAGTAGGCTGTGGTCTACTTTATCAAATGCCTTACTGAAGTCTAAGTATACTACATCCACAGTATTTCACTGGTCTATTTAGTCACTTTGTCGAAGAATGAAATAAGATTGGTTTGGCATGATTTGCTTTTAACAAACCTGTGCTGACTACTAGTTATAACTTTGTTTGCTTCTAGTTGTTCGCAGATCTTTTTTTTTATTATCTTTTCTAGGATCTTCCCAGGTATTGATGTTAAGCTGATTGGTCTGTAGTTTCCTGGGTCTGCTTTTTTTTCCCTTTCTTGACGATGGGAACCACATCAGTCCTTTTCCAATCCTCAGATATTTCCCCAGTGCTCCAGGATTTTTGAAAGATGTAGTGCAGTGGTTCTGAGATAACATCTGCCAGCTCCTTCAGAACTCTGGGATGTAATTTGTCAGGCCCCGGTGATTTATATTTGTCAAGGTCAGATAGGTGTTCTCTTACCATTTTCTTGCTTATTTTAATTTTTGTTTCTAATTTGTCTGTTGCAGTGGGTTTTTTGATGTGTTGGGCTATGGTTTCTTTTTGTGTGAAGACTGATGTAATAAGCAGCTCTGTTTTCTCCCTGTTGCCTGTTATTTCCTTGCCATCTTCTCTCTTTAGTGGAGCTACAGTTTCCTTGATTTTTTTCTTGTTGTTAATATGTTGGAAGAATTTTTTTTTTTAATCCATGATTTCTGTTGCAAATCTTTTATTCGTTCTGAGCCTTTGCTTTCTTGACTTCATCTTTACGTGTTCTGACTGTCTGCTGATAATTGGCCTTAGTTATGTGTCCCTCTTTCTATTTTTTGTATTTGTCCTTTTTGTCTTTCAGTTTGTCAGAGACATCTTTGTGCAGCCATGCTGGTTTCTTCTTGAATTTCTTGTTTTTCTTTTTCAGTGGTACTGTGGTGGTCTGGGTTTTTATGATCGTATTTAGACAGTTTCCCATGCTTCTTGGGTTCTTTTCAGCTTTAGGATTTTCATCCATGGGATCTTTCCTAGGTTCTCTCTGAGTTTGTTAAAGTCAACTCTTTTGAAGTTCAAGACACTGGTTGGATTGTTTTCTGTTGCTAGTGTTTGTGTTATATTAAATTCCAGTATGACACAGTCACTTTCACCCAAGGTTCCGGCAACTTCAACTGCCTCTGTCAATTCTTCTCTATTAGTTAGAATTAAGTCCAGTGTGGCTTTATGTCTAGTTCCCTCCTCCATCTTTTGGATGACACAAAAGTTGTTGGCTAGGTTGGTTAGGAATCTGTTTTATCTCCCGCTCGCTGTAGAGTTTGTCTCCCAGTTGATATCTGGGTAGTTGAAGTCTCCCATTATTATTGTGGTATGCTTCCTACATACATTTGTTAACTGGTTGGCAAAGAGTTCATCTGTAATATACACCTATGGCAATGTCACTTTTTTCTCTTTTATATTGACCCATGTGCATTCTGGAGAGATTTTATATTTGATCATGTATTTTTCTGTAGATATGTAGTGTTCTCTTACATATAGTGCAACTACTACTACTCTTTTTGTAGACCTGTTTCTTTTGAACAATTTGTATCCATCTATCAGTCCATTCCATTCATGGGTTTTGTCCCACCAGGTTTCTCTAATATCAGCTATGTCATACTCTCCCTCATGTACTATTGCTTCTAGTTTGCCCTGTTTGTTCCCCAAGCTTTGAGCATTTGTATATAAGCATTTAAGGCTTTTGTGCCTTAATTGTTACTTTGCTGGTTGCTCCTCCTGTTCTCAAGAGCTGCCCATTTTATATACAATTTCAGCTTGTTCCTAGGAGGAAGGCAACCATTTATAATACTCTCAATCAGGGAAGAAACCAAAGCTTCAATTCCTCATAAACTTAATTAGGATTTGTCTCCTTAAATTCAATAAGGCTTGGTGCAGATAAGACAGAAATGAATTTTACAAGAATTGTATCTTGACAAAAATCAAAATAAAGCACTAGTCTGAATCTGGAATTTATGTTCAAATGATAATACTTTTATACCATTTTGATTTGTGGCTGCTACTACTATAGCCAGTTTGCTTTCAATTATATTTTTAAAAGGGTGTTTTTTTCTCTGTGATTTCAAAGTTTCTTTTATTACTGTATATAGCATTTTGAAGCTATGCTTTGACATCATACACAAATAGTACTTTACGTTTTGAGACACAAACCAAACCTAAAGAATTGTATCTTTACTTCTGCAACTCTGAAGCCCAAAAGTTACATCTTACAACAATTATAAACAGCATTTTGATTAAAACCTTTCTTCATTACTAATGTTTATCATGTCCTGTCCACACACATTAAACAGCTACAGTATCCTTGAGTTTTCTCAAGTGTATTAAGCCTGTGTCTTTCATTATATTCTATGAAATCCTATAGGACATTAATTTTCCATGTAATCCTTAAAAGGAAAACTATTTTAAAAACAAATCTAATAAGAAATGCAAGGTAATGCTAAGGATACTGCTCTACCTAAATCAAATTGACAACTATTTTAAACAGTTCTGTATTAAACTACTAGCCTGATACATTTATGTATCCACTTTGTGGTTTCCACTTGGATAAAACCGATCAGTGCAACTATCTCTTCTTGAAGGAATAGGATAAGGTGAATTGCTTGTGTGGCTGACCTTTAGAAAACATCTCTATCAAATGTTTTATTTCTAGAACATCTAAACTAGTAATACTTTCCAAGAGGTCATCTGATTGGCGAGATATTTTGCAACAATGATGTCATTGAGTAATGAGTTGCAGATGAGGTCAGGATTAGGAAGGCAAAAACATGGGTGTATTACCCTTAGATTAATCTTCATCTCTAAGAAAAAAAGGAAGAAACTAACCAAGACTATATGCCCTAAACATAGGAATTTAAATAATGTTTAATGAGAATATAGTAGAGTACATAACTAGCTTGATAGCCAATTCTACTGTGCATTATTGCGAAGCTATGCCTTCTTCCATTGGAAGCAGAAGACTTTAGAATATTTGTTTTTGCTAATTATTCATCCTCCTCTCTCATGCTATCAGTCTGAGGATGTTGATCTGCTTTTGGTAAGTGGGAATAATGTTTATTGAAGACATGCAGAAACAATTCATTTGCTTTTCGCTACTGAGTTGGCAGTTGAAATACAGGAAGCTTTTCCAGAATGTAACCTTTTCTTCAAAAACAAATTTAAGTCTCTCCCATCTTGAAAGATGTTTAAAAGTTTTGTATTTAACCGCTGCAAAGCAACAATTTTATAAAGATTGGATTTAGCGTTCTTCCAGTACTGTCACCTTTGAATGCCCAAACTTTTTAATGTTTCCATCAAATGCCCTATGCCTTTAAATTTCCAATCTTGATTTGTACATGTTAGAGTCCCACAATAAGAAAATACAGGGTAAAGATATATTTAATAGTATCTTTCATATAAGTTTCAGCATTTTTAAGAATGAAGTGACCATAGCACCATCTGCTGGAAAAAACAGAACATGCAGCATTGCATATTCATCATCTAGCTTGCCTATTTTAAGCATAGGCAGCCAGTTCACCTAAGGAGGTCTGTGTATGTAAGCAGGCTTCTGCACATGTCCCAAATTGTAACAAAAACCATAGAAAAGTCAAACATGCATGTATATGGGCATATCATTAGGTTGCTTTCAACAGTTAATTCTCTATTACCATCTGGCACAACTCATCCTACTTCAATACTTTTTTAAGCACCCTTGGAACTGAACTGGGATGAAGGAGTAGCATAATATTTTTAATGATATTTTTCAGGCATTTTTTTTCAAACTTAAATTATTACATGTTAAATATTCTTATCCTCCTAGTCTGACTGCTACTAATGTATATGTGGGGGGGGAGGAGAAAAATCTTATATGTTTGGTAACCTAGGAGATTCTGATTTAATGAGTTACTATGGTGACAACTGGTCTCTTGAAAAAAATGATAAATCATGGGATTGGCAGAGTTCATAAAAGCGACATGATAAATGATTAATGTAGTGAAATCTGTATGCAATTTTGTACCATAGGAACAAATCCAATCTCTAAATATAATTTGTTTCAAATGTTTTCCATCCTTCCATTAATATGTTTATTTTACTCATTTAAAAGAATCAAAGGATAAATAACTCTCAGTCTGCTCAGTCATTGGCTACTCCGGTGGTTTCCGTGGCAACTCCTACTTTACCAGGGCAAGGGATGGGAGGATACCCATCAGCCATTTCAACAACATATGGTACCGGTAAGTTTCCACAGAATTCTGAGCCTTATAGATTAAATAGAAAAAAGCCAGATACTCACATACAGAAAAGCCCAAGTAGTTATGAATTTGATGCTTGTGGTAATATGAAATGAAACAATATGTAGAATCCTATCTCATTTTTGCTGTGTATCATAACAAGAATTACTTTTAAGTGGCATAAGAATCACTCATTCACACTTGACAGTTGAAGAGCCACTTAAACTTCCCTTATCAGAAAATGCTTTGACATTCCCACTCTCATAATTAATTGATGCCTGCTGGCACATTGTAGGGATAGCTTACCTGCATTCATACACTTTTGAGAGGCCAGAAATGCTTCCATCCTTACCTGAACTGCAGACTCCACAGTGTCTGATTTGTACACTCATAAGGTATCCATTTGTACATCAGAATTTTATAAAGGTTGGATTTAGCGTTCTTCCAGGACCTTTGAATGCCCAAACTTTTTAATGTTTCCATCAAATGCCCTATGATAGGAAACAGTAATGGGGACAAGAAGGCATATCACTGCAGAACTTTCTTTTGTATAATAAGCAGGGACTGGCAGAGCCATGAATGGCTGTACCAAATCCTTATCTGGAAGGGGAGGCCATTTTCCAGTTCAGGGTCCCCCCCAAAAGTTGAAGCCCAAAGTATGTCCATTTTCTGTTGACTAGGGTTCTAAACTCAATGTGAGCCTGCTACACACTGCAAAAACTGAGTTGTGTACCTTTTTTCACTTCTATACTTACAGGCTTGAATGTGTATTCAAGGTCACAGTCCATGGGAACATAGTAACTAACTAACCCCAGAGCCTAAGGTTGCTATTTCCAAGAATCCAAGGCTAATCTAATTTTGATTGCACTTTACAGTAATCTTCCGTAAAGCTCATATATTTGGCCCATATTCAATATCAAAGTGGGGAACTGTGGTCCTCCAGTAGGCACTAATCTAGAGTGTCCAGCATCCATTGCCATGCAGGGCCACGTAACTGGGAGTTGTTGCCCAGCAATATCCTAAGAGTCATAGGTTTTCCATTCCTTGCAAGTAAGCTGACATTGGAGGCTGGATTTTTTGGTGTTGATAAATGTGTGCTAAAAATATTACAAAACATCACAAGCTGAAAGTTCACCAGGAGCCAGAAAATCATATATTTAGCATTTATTTCCTAAGATAGTAAACTGAGTTTATGCACTTGTGTATCTATGCATATATCCACCTATTGTGCTTTCAGTGAGTGGCGAGGAGAAGGGAATACCTTTAATACCACAATTGCAGTAGATGTTACAATGCCTTATTAATGGAATTTACTTTGGAATTCTTTCTTCTTAATTTTGAAAACATTGTGTTTTTTTTTATTCTTGCATCAGAATATTCGCTAAGTAGTGCAGATTTGTCATCATTGTCTGGCTTTAACACAGCCAGTGCTCTCCACTTGGGCTCAGTAACTGGCTGGCAGCAGCAACATCTACACAACATGGCACCATCTGCCCTCAGTCAATTGGGGTAAGTCAGAATTCAAAGCATTATATTATTTTTAAAAGACCCAAGATATCTCCCTCCCCAACAATAATAATAATAATAATCCTGTTTTTGGTTATAAAGCTTTTCCCTCCCTGTTGGAGAAATCCAGTGTTTGGAGCAGAGAGCTCAGAGTTTCTAGTATTCTGGAGATGAGACACCTTGAAAGGAACCAAAGCTATAATCTTGGCAGAATGACTGAATCCTCTTTGTCCTACAAGAAACCCAAGAGAGTTGCCTCCATCTAGCTCTGTCCTGTGTCCCTTCCTCTGTAGATAATGTTCCGCTGGTTGTCAGTAGAAAGCGATATGAGAGGCAGGTGTAACACATAATAAATGGCAGGTCTGCAGTATGTCAGTGATAGATGCATCATGCATATGGATAGATTGCAGTGCAGCAATGGGGGAGGAGAGCAGTTTAGTGAAATCAGATGGCAAACAGTCTATGGGATTAAATTGTCTTGGCAGTGGAGTTTCAACATTAGCTGTACTAGGCCATGTTTTATTTTATTTATTTGTATCCCCTCTTTATTGTTTTAAAATAACTCAAGGTGGCAAACATATCCACCTTTCTCCTTCCATTTTCTCCACAACAACAACCCTGTGAAGTTAGTTGGGCTGAAAGAGAGTGACTGGACCAGTGTCACCCAGCTGGCTTTCATGTTACCAATAGAAGACAATATATGAAGCTCAGGGTGGACCTGGAAGTCCTTGGTGCTCTCTGAGTTTGGCTGTATTATTATGTATTCAGCTATGTGTTCCATTAGGCTAGAAGCAGCTGGCCTCACCTGAACTTGGGCTGACCAGGAAATAATCTTCCAGCCCAAATTCAGCTGCCCCAAAAGCCAGAACTGCACTGCTTAAGAACAGGTTTTAGGGCCCTCTTGCAGTCATAAGTTGAGGACTACCTGTACTGTACATGCAGAGGTTTTAATACCTGGCATCACTGGTGATATCAGATGACTGCAAGATCTAAAATCATGTAGATTATTTGACAGAAGACGTTTTTCCATCATTTCTGAGGAAAAGCTCACATAAATGCTAGCCTACCATTTACTTGAGCTGAGTCTAGAAATTATATCCCCAAAATTCAGACCTTGAAAGCAGATAAGCAATTCATTTATAACTCGTATATTTTTCCCCAATCTATTAACATAAGCTTGTTTCACTGATTTATATTATACCCTTGTAGTCACAGTGATATTAGAATTCAAAGGTTTTTACTTTTTCTTCTCTGCTTTTAACCAGAGCTTTAAACCATTCAGACTTTAAGACTTTACTGCACTTTGCAATACCTGTCTGCTTAGTATTACCAACTGATTTACCAGCTTGACCCAGACATAATCCACATTTACTTGAGCATCATGCATTTTAGAAGAGGCACAGATATTTCACTTATTTCTCTTACATTATGATAAATTACATGTTCAAAAGGATGCCAGCAAGCAAACCTGGTGTTCGTTTTCCCAGTGAAAGGGCATGCATTCCTGCCCTCTAGTGGCAAATTCAGGAGGGAAAAACCTATAATAATTTATACCAAGCTGTTGTAAAAGCCAGAAACTCTTTATAAAAAATAAATATAAGCAAATCCAGTGGAACAAGGAAACTAGCAAAACCATAGTATTCACTTTTCCTATTATCTGAATTGCGCATAGTCAAGGTTGAAAGTCTTTTCTGTGATTGGAGACGTGAGTGCATTACTGATATTCCTCAATTTATGACCACAATTGGAATTTCCACCATAACTTAGTGCAGTTGCAAGTAGAATTCCAATTCTACTGATATTAGAACAATTTTTACATCAGTCATTAAGTGAATGACCATAGTTGTTAAGCAAATCTAATTTCCCCAATAGGCATTTTCTGCCAGCAAAAAAAGGCAAAAAATGTTGCAAATTTTGATCACATAACTGCAGGACATTTCAATTGGTAATAATTGTGGGTAGGTTGCCAAACACCACAATTGTGATCACACAACCATGGGAATTGTGTGACAGTCATAAGTATATATACAGATCATAACTCACTTTTTTTCAAGACTATCATAAGTTTGAATATATTGTTAAATGAACAATATAAGTCGAGGACTATTTGTATGCCGCCCTGAGTCCGCAAGGAGAAGGGTGGGATATAAATTTAATTTAATAATAATTAATTAAAAAATAATGCCTATTTAGAGAGATGCCTTCCTTTTAGGATGCATTGAAAGCAGTAGCTCAGCCCTATTTAAATTAAATATGCTGCCATTCACTTCAGTGAGAAGTAGATTATACCAATTATTTTGTCTGTAATGCTTAGGTGGAAATTGTATTACTGCGAAAGCTCTATTAAATATTTCCTATAATCTTCATAATAATATTCTTTGTGCATTAATCTTAGTGTTTTAAAAAATACATTACAAAATAGAAAATGCCCCATCTAAGCATTTAAAGTGAACAAATTGTTTTCAGCTGAGCACCATAACATAAACAGACTATTTCACAAAGAAAGCAAAGTTCATAATTAAATGCTAAACCAATAGCAAACCTTCATAGATTTGGCACACACCATCATCTATTTCTAGCTCAGTCATAAAATACCTGCCCTAATTTTGCCTGTACATTATTCTATAAATATTTATGCTACATTTGTCAGAAATTGACTCTCAACTGACAAAAATAAGAAAATTTCACTTGGCAATTCCTTCTATAAATCTTGTACATCGGTTTTAATCTGAAATTAAATAACAGTTAGTTAGGCTGCAAGAAAAGATAACACTTCTTTTAATTCTGCTCTGTCCAGTTTAGTATGTAAGCTGGATCTTAGGAGTGTGCATTTTTACTTTTTTAGAAATCAAGAAAACTGTGTGTGAGACCTTATTTTTATAGTTAGTGCTTCTAGTTTCCACACTGAATAAAGATATTCATTACATGGCAAATTGAACTAATTTCCAATAGTTAACAGATCCCAACTATAGATAGTGGGTTAACTTCAGGTATCGCCAAGAATGTAAAATCAAGACAATTCTGCCCTTTGGCTTGCTTTTCACCCAACTGCAACTGTATGGCCAATATGCTTGTCTATTCCTTTAGAGAAAATAACTGCACCAATTTTGACAAAATCAGCTGAATGCAGGGCAGATGAAAGCAATTATGGATACAGCATTTCTCTTCCTCTTTGTTGACTAACAATAGCCATTCATTATTAAACATTGTGACAATTAATGATAAAAGCATTGCCACATCATTCTAAGGATAGATATATAGCATTGCTTTGCATTTTCTGCAGAGTTTAGAAAACAGTTGGCTACAGTCCTTCACTTTGTGCTCAGCCACAAAGATTTTAGACGGCTAGGCCTGAGCGTGTGAGCTTTCCAGTCTTTCAAAACGTGCAGCTCCAGTGCTCAAGTGACATATCTCCTTCGTGCCATAGCCTTTCATCCCTCTGAAACATCCAATCTGCCATGTCATCTCTGAGTGATATACAACCTCCATGCACAATCAACTAGTATCCACAAAGTCATTGCCATTAGTACAGCTATTAGCACAATTTGAACACCTTATTGGTTCAGGATTTATCCATATGGTGGCTGGAGAATTTTGGGAGATGAAATTTCCACATCTTAACATTGCTGAAATTGAAAAACACTGATTTAAATAATTATATTGAAAATAACCATGTTCGAGTATTGCCTTTTTTCCCCCTCATTTCATCAACCTACAGCTTAACAAGCCACTCTTATCTGTTTGGCCATCAAAAAAATCCCCCTTAGTTCCAATTTCCTCATTGCCAAAAGAGGAGAGAAGGGGAAAATACAGGAGGCAATAAGCAAACAGATAACTTGGTGTTTGAATATATAACTGAAAATCATGGTTTGGTTTGGTGACTTTTTCCAATGTGGCAGGGCTTTAGAATTAATCAGAATTTTCTGTATCCAATCTTGCTTCAACTTTTTGCTTATACTAAAAATGAATATTAGTTTCTACATAGCTTTAGGGCAGGGGTAGGCAACCTCGGCTCTTTTATGACTCATGACTTCAACTTCCAGAATTCCTGAGCCAGCTTAGCTGGCTCAGGAATTCTGGGAGTTGAAGTCCATGAGTCATAAAAGAGCCGAGGTTGCCTACCCCTGCTTTAGGGTGATATAGGGAATTTCTTGAACCTTTGCTCAAACCTCTTTCCAATATGAGTTGCCATACACCTCAAGACACTCAGCAGAACCCAGAAAAATGAACCCATGATGTCTTGAAAGCCATGTGAAAAACCAAAAGATGCTGAATAGAACAGGCCCAATTATTCTTGCAGTTGAGTTGTGAGCAATCTACACTAGTCTGCCATACAACCTGCCATCTTTTTTAATTACTTTTCTGTATACGCACACACGCAGTCATATCTTAAGAAATCAATCATGGGTGTGGCTGACACTATTTCCATCTGAGGTAAAAGCCATCCTGGCTGCAGCTCTGGGCAATCCATAGAACAAACTGCAAGGACCATCTTAGGAGAGTCATCCTTTCAGACGTGTCCCACCACTGCAGAGACAATCCTACACACACACACTCCTTGGCTTTGTGCAGGAATGAGTGTTCAGTCTCTTAGCTGATATTTTGTGTAAGTGTGCATTTCAGGGGGCTCTGCCTCCTCCGTCTGTAACTGGGTTTCCTTTCCTCCTACAGAGCTTGCACTAGCACTCATTTATCTCAGAATACAAATCTCTCCCTGCCTTCTACTCAAAGCCTCAACATCAAGTCCGAACCTGTTTCTCCTCCTAGAGACCGTACCACCACGCCATCGAGATATCCACAGCACACGCGCCACGAGGCGGGAAGATCTCCTGTTGACAGCTTGAGCAGCTGTAGTAGTTCCTATGATGGAAGCGACAGGGAAGATCACCGAAATGAATTCCACTCTCCCATTGGACTCACCAGACCTTCGCCGGACGAAAGGGAAAGTCCCTCCGTGAAGCGCATGCGGCTCTCTGAAGGATGGGCAACATGATAACTTTACTAGCTATTAGAGGTTTTTTTTTTTCTTGCAGTGCGTGTGTGTGCTATACCTTAAGGGGAAAGAGGGAGGGGGGTCAATATGCATTATATGTGCTGTGTGTGGGGGGGGAAAGTCAGGTACTCTGTTTTGTAAAAGTACTTTTAAATTGCCTCAGTGATACCATATTAAAAGATAAACAGCAATGCTGAAGAGATGCTTCGCACTTGAGTTGTACAACAGATCACTTGTACAAAATAGGTTTTAAGGTTAACTTCTTTTTACTGTTGTGCTCCCTTGCAAAATGTATGTTACAATAGATAGTGTCATGTTGCAGGTTCAACGTTATTTACATGTAAATAGCCAAAAACAGAAAAAAGAGGAGGCATTTGCCCAATCCTGGGCAGATCTTTACTGAGAGAGAAAGTGGCTGTTATGCAACAAATAGAAAATGTACAGATGTTTTGGGAGACCCAGGGTGATTAAGGAAAAAAAAAGAAAAGGAAAAATTTAGGTCACTTAGTGTATCTGAAAATGCTCACAAATGTGTTGGCATATTGTATGAGTATGGCACTCAGTTAAACGGATCAAAATCATTTAAAAGAGGACCATACTTGTCAAAAAAATGTTTTGGGATTCTTTTTTTTTAGTGTGAGGGCTAATCTATTTAATTTTTTTAAAATTCTGGGTCTGGATCACTTATTAAATAAAAATATTAAAAAATATGTAAATTACATTTTCCTTATTTTCATATTAAAAAGTAAGACAGAGTTTGCAAAGCATTGTGGCTTTTTGTAGATTACATAAGCCAAAATGTGTTTTCCCCCTTCATAGCTTTGCCAATATTTTAAACAGCCCTGAAGGAAACAAAGGGGGACTTTTTGTATAGAAAGCACTACCCTAAGCCATGAAGAACTCCATGCTTTGCTAACCAAGGTAATTGTTTTCTCTTTGCAGAAATTTTGTTTTTGAAATGTGTATTTCTAATTATATAAAATATTAAGAATCTTTTAAAAAAATCTGTGAAATTAACATGCTTGTGTATAGCTTTCTAATATATATAATAATTATGGTAATAGCAGAAGTTTTTGTTATCTTAATAGTGGGGGAATTATATTTGTGCAGTTGCACATTTAAGTAACTATTTTTTTTTCCTTTCAGTTTTTCTTCTAATCAGAATACATTTTACAGAATCAGTCAGCTGTTGGAGGCTAATCTGCAAAAGATTAGGATTTTCCCTTCCTAAAGCAGCCCATATAATTCTAATACATCTGCAGTCAGTTTTGCATCTTGAGTAGTTCCATCCTATATTTGAACATGTTCTTCTTACCTTATTTATGTTTTGCATATCTTGAGGCTTTCTGCCCCTTAGATCACAACGTGACTCAGCTTTGTCTTGTTTCTATACATTCGATAAAACTAGCAATCTTTTGGCTGTAAGAGGTAACTCAGAAAGTTTGCACAAACAAAATGGAAATCTGGGGTAGCATCAAAGTGAACATCATTTAAAAAAACCCATAACAATTACCCCAAATTTGGTACCCTGACTGCATATATTATGCCCAACATTCAGTAGGTTATCTCAGAACTACAGGCAGATTCAGGTTCAAATGTAATCAAGGAAGAGTGGCCTCGGTGGCCTAGATAGCCCTTCCAACTCTGTAATTCTTTACTTCTTGTACTCTTTCATACAGAGTAATTGAGGACAGGGATAGCAGCAAAAGGTCACCAGTCTTAACTTCAATCTGGCTATAAATGTTGAGTTGTTTATGTCCAAGAATGAATTTATACGTGCATTACATTAGTTATAATACCATCATGTACAGGTATACTGCAAAATAAATCCAATAAGGTCAAAGGGATTTGTTTCCAGATGACTGAATGTAGGTTTACTCAGTATTTTGCTATGCAACACTTGGTGACTTATGGCTGAATGTATGGACCACTGAAAAGTGTTGTGCTTATTTTGACATCTGTATTTAGATGGTGTGATGGTTATAATGTAAAGCATGTGCATCATGTTGAGTAACTAGAGCTGAACTCCACAGTTCCATTCAAATGTAGTAGCTGCTGTATTTTCTTTGAGCAATCAGCCCTGCTATAAAAATTGACCATTATAATTTTCTAACTGAATTTGTTTGGTCACCACAGAAATCCATTCTGTTCTACTTTCCTCTTATTGGATAAAGCTAATATTATCCATAATTCCTACCCATACTTTTAATTAAGAATAATATCAGAATAAAATTATGCCTGAACAGGGTATCTAATTTATCTTTGACATTAATACATATTATTTATAATTTAGCAGGCATAAAAATGCATGAAAGTTATGTCATTTGCTTTAAATACTTCCATACTGGGATTGATTCTTGAAAGGAAAGGTGGGGGTTTTTTTCCCCATACTAAATAATGTGTGAATGGTATATCTGGATTCCCAGTGCTGTAGGAGAGTCCCTTTGTATATATGACTTAGTCTACTTTATTCTTTATAATTGTTTTATATTTCTTGGAGCTTTAACATCTGTCATGCAAATTAAGTCTTGGTGGTCCACCCTGCTGAGCTGAGTGAGCGAGTGAGTAAACAAGTGATGTAGCTTATTTTCTTAGGACCGGAGGGCAGGGAAGAGATGTAGGATGGAAGAAATATGAGTAATTTCTAGCATGTTAGAGTCAAAACACAGCTCATGATGCAGTTCTTTTAACTGCTCGTTTTGATACAGTATCAATATAAAGCAGAGTGAAAAATCTAGAGCGCTATTCACTCTTTACTACTTAATCCAGTTGCTGATTAATCTGTGATACCTTTCCAGAGTCATGAACAAGCATTAGCAAATCAACTGACTTTGGCAAATTTTAATGGAGACATATATGTCTACATAAGAATACAAGCAGTGAAAACTCTGTTTGATTAAGGATACCAACCAAATATAGATGTAAGGCTTTGTTCACTTTTAACAAAATCAATAATAATGACACCTATACCACAGCTGTAGTGTCATAGCTTATGATTCCGTGCTGGCTCAGCAGTTGCTTTTTCTTATCCTAAGCATTTCTTGACTAGCCCAGAAAGTCTTGGAAGTATGCTGAAGCCATATCATTTGCATGTATGTTCTAGATAACAGAAAAGCTGCATTGATAATGCATTAATTCCACCAATGACTTTAAACAGATACAAGTGCATTAAAGAAAGTGAGAATGGGGCCAATGTTTGATTTTCCTAACTTCAATCAGGCTTCCAAATGATTTTCTTCACTTTAACATTTACCATCACTTGAGAACATTCATCTTCAACAGGAATTAAATATGCAATACGGTATGTGGCCATTTTTTAAAAAGGGAAAAAGAAAGAAATAATATTTGGCTTACCAGTATGGTTGTACTGTAAGTCATTTGTCAATGTGGGTGGGTGATAGTGACAGCCATGCACATGCAAACATAAAGTTACTGTTGAGACTACTGTTCAGAATTGAAGGGATCTGTGCATGTGAACCAATGGAAATAAGCTCCTCCCACTCAGCCAGGCAATTGTGATCTTGAACAAAGCTAAATTGTGCAAGAATGGATATTACTATTTCTTCCTTTTTCCACTATTGAGCTAAACTAAAATATAGAGGCACAAAATCTAGGGTTAACTGAACATTGTAAATGGATTTAATTAATAAAGAAGCACAATGTTTAATGGTGATGTTGCTTTCTAAAAGCTTTAGTGGTCAATCCTTAACTGTTCTTTTTATCTATACCTTAATAATTTATGGTAAAGCTACAATGGAGGGACTTAATGGTGTGATTCTTTTGTATTTAAGCAGTTTTGGGGCAGTGCCCCAAAAAGGATTGAGACTTTCTTCAACCTGGGCGGAACAAAGTTAAAGGCAACACGCAATAGCCAAAAAGACGTCTTCTCCCCTTAAACTGATCTTTATTTTGGAAAAGGCTTATTAATGAAAGGAAAAGCCTCTTTTCTGATGACAGTATATGATATACACCACCCTTTCCAAATCTAGTGCCTTTTGAATATAGTGTCACAGTAAAATTCCTCCCCTAAAAGGAAATAAGCATTGGCCATATCTTAGCTAAGCAAGCTTAGCTTAGCTTGTAATCCATATATGAAGAATACTAGGTTGGGAAAAGCTAATAGAGAAAAATCTGCACACATTTATATATTGTATGCATGGGTTTCAGAAAAGGATTTTTTAAAAATCATTTCAGTGCTTTATCAACGGGCGATATTTTACTTTTCTTTTTTGGGGTAACTAAATGATTTATATTTTTCCCAGGAGTGGAATTTAACATTTTTAATAATATAGTGATATCTGCTGTTCTCAGAAGGTTTTTTTTTCCCCAAACAAAGCTAAAATGCAAGAATATCTGCTATGCTGTTTTCAAGAATGTCAAGAACCCCTTTTTGTATTGTTTGACTTTGTCTTAGCTTTTATCCATCTCCCTCATAGATGCAACAGTGTGGTTTGGTTTGGTTTTTTCTTTCTTTCCTGCTGCCTCTAGAGGGCAAATGCTTTGCCTTTATGTCCCAAAAAGCCACTTGAAACCTCAATAAATGCTATTGCCTAAACCCAGCATATTCCTCTGCTCCCATTTTATGCCAACTGCAGTGACATCTTCACATATGTGGCCTCCATTTCTTGACACTGTGAGTCCTTCAAACAGCTGGTGGAACATTGGTGTCAGGTGAGAAGACCTCACTCAGAAACTAGTAACAGGCTTTTGTGAACATATTCTAACCAAAGATGTGGAGCAATCCAAGTGTAGAATTGCACACTTTGTATCAAATTCTCTATATCACGATGGGCATAATCATGTTGTTTAGTTTCGCTTGTCCCTGCTTGTACCTCAAACTGGCCCATTCCTCTATTTTAGTCAAAGATGTCAGCTCAGTGGTAAATGAAACTCACTTAACCTAAAAATATTTTACTTGGATTGCTTCAGATGGTTTGCTTTTGCTTTTGCTTTATTTTATTTTAATCCTGGGAATTTGCTTTAATTAAATCAGTGATATTCTCCTGCTGATGGGCACATAAAAGCGTTTTGCGAGAAATATTAAGCTTAGAGGCTCACAGCGGCATAAGCTGGACTTTGTCGCCACTGGATGACAAGATATTATAACAATTTTAAAAATCACACCTGTGTATCTCAAGAGATTTAATCAGCTGTCTGTAGTGAACAATAAATAAATTAATGGGCAAAAAAAATCAGAAGTTCTTCCTGCTGGACATAAGGTATAATTTGTATTTTGCAGCCAAATCAGTAAAATTACTGGCTTTCTTAGTGATGCAGTGTCTCTGGTGCATTTTTTGTTTAAAAAATTAAATAGTCTTTGCCTCAATTAGACATCCTTGACATATCAAATCAAGAGATCTGTTCTATAGCCTGCAGTTTAAAATATACAGACGAGACATATTGTAATTCTAAAAGCAACTCTTCTCCTGTAATTTTTTTTTGCATTGTCATATTAACTCACTGCTGACAGGATCTTTATGGGCAGCAGTATCTATTCTGGTAATATCCTATCTTAATAGATAACAACACAGAAATATTAAAATATAGTTTGATTTGTTTCAAAAATATGCAAGCATTAATATCTTTTTAATAAGATGGGTTAAGTTACTGGTATGCAGTGGTGAAGCTACAGGAAAACTGATCTGCAGGTGGATAGAATACTTCATCAGAGATAATCTGCTGTTTACTTTCCCAAAAAAAGTAGTAGTAACAACAAAAAATTTCATTTGGAATATGCAATATTAATGCCAATATTAATAGCCTGCCATGTATTAAACTTTCAGAACATTACAATATATAAATATTAAAATAAGTCAACAGGGAAGCTGTTCTTGCAATCAAGATCTATTAAAACTGTTTCTGAAATGACATCAAAAAGAGTAAACAGATGTTTAAAATATAAAAAAGCTGTAAATGCCTTGGGAATTTTTTTTTCTAAGATCTTTGGCAGCAAAGTAGGTGTACCATAAGTCTCTTTGAAACAGTCTATCAAAATTGACTTTTGAGCAGCATCTGACATAGGAAAGGTAATGTCGGCATCCAGTATACCTCAGGAAAAGCAATCCTTGGAATTCTCAGGTCTTACCCATTTAATATTTTAAAGATCAAAATTAGAACTTTCAGCAGAGTCTAGAAATGGATTGGAAGCTGTTATTGAGAGATTTCATTATGCAAGTAAATACTACAGAGTCTCTTAAAATTGAGGAAGTTCAAACCCTTGATTTTTGCTGGATCAAGCAAGGTGGCCAACAAGTCTCTTCTTTTGCTTCCTTTTTATAAAGTCATAGGAAGTTATTGGCAATATGCAAATAATTCTGAGGCTACTGTGCAATTAACTCGCTAAAACATGCATTTTCAAAACACTCCATTTCATACTGTAGTGTCTTGAGAAACTGCCTGGAACCAAATAGCAAGGAATCATTTTTTCCGGAGATTTATTCTTTGCTAAGTGGGCCAGCCCAGCTCAGAAGCTAGTGAGACAATAGACCAGAAGTGAAATATTTCTGCACCTTGAAACTTCTACCAGATTCTTCTATGGTACAACTCTTTCTGGGCTTCTTCCACATTCTCTTTCCCCTTATCTCTTCTCCCTCCCATATCTGTTGTGAATTTTCTCTCACATAGCCAAGATCTAATGTTCAAGTATTTGTTGCTCTTTTTGCTCAGTTTTATTTCTTTAATTACTAAAATCATGAATTAGTCAATTACATCGAATATACATTTTTTCAATTGTTTCATTCAAACTATTATTTTATCTGGCTTGAATTGTCCCCCATCTTCAGTGGGACTGTTATAGCGATGGTAAAAGCTACTGGTTTCTACTGGATGACATTTTTCAGCCAAATGTCCTAGTTGTGGGTTTAGGAAAACTTGCCACAGCCAACTCGCCATGGCTAACTCGCTGTGGGACAACTTACCACACAACAATTCAACACTATATTAATCATTTCATTCAGTTACTTTTGTTATAGGTGACCATGTTTTCATTGAAATTATTGTAACTCTTGTATTTCTGGATTGACTTTATTTTATTATTATTGGTCACGATTCCATTGAAATTAATTTAACTTGTATTTGTTGAATTGTCCTGTGGCGAGTTGTCTCACAATGAGTTGGAGGCATTAGTTATCCTGCCACAAGTTGGCTATGGTAAATTGGCCATGGCGAATTGTCCGCCTAGTTGTTTCATGTTCCTGAGACATTCTTAGTGGGCAAAGACATCACAATGTCCCCAAATATCTTATTGTGAGATTATAATTTAGAAAATATAAGTCTCTAGGAGTACCCATTGATCTTAGCATTTGTTGTCACACCTATACAGGAAATACACTGTTTATGAAACAAAAAACCGGACCTGGAAGGGAGAAGCTGCTAGAAAGTAATCTACTATCACTGATTAAGCATCATAACCAAATGGTAAACAGAATCTCTGGATCCCCAATATACTGCCACATGGTAATTGAGCAAACAGCTGCAACAACTTTAGATACAATCATAGATAAATAGCACACTTCTATGTCACATTAGTGTAACAGGATTAATGTGTGTTCTTGAACAGGTTTATAGAATCCTATGTTGTTCTCTCTGTTCTGAACATTTTAAACTCAGGGCAAGCAATGGATCATCTGCAGAGGGAGGGAGAGGGGTCAAAAAGCAAGATGGCAGATGCAACTAATTACATAATCAACACTTGCCCCTTTTTCTTGTATGTCAGGCAAGCATCAGGTTTTTATTTAATAATCTGAAAGGCTGTGATATTAAGCACTTTTATTAGAAAATACTAGGAGAGAGTTACTTCTGTTCAGATATGCCAAAACTTCCATAGAAACTGCTGGAATTCAGTTGGGTTAAATGAATATAAAATTGCAGCTTTGATATTGGGCAGAGAAAAGTAACTTCCTCCCTTTTTTATTTAATGTGTTAATTTTTCATCATAATGAACCAATCAAACCACAGGAAATACTCTTTTTTGTTGTAGTTGAAAACCAGCAAATTTGAAAAGTGTTATTTTTTTACAACTCTTCCCATAATTAAATGCAGAAATCCACATAACCACTGCATGACAGCAAAGAGCTACAGAAAATTCTTGTAAATACTTTGCTATCAGATTTTTTGCAGCTCACAGATGACAGCTTTATATTTATTGATTTGCCTTACACAGCCAAATGCTTTGGCTCTTAACAAGACAACCAACACATTGTTCCCTGTCTTGATCAGTCACACAGACTCTATTTCTATGACACACAGAACCCCAAACCAGGCTGTTATATTTTAATCTACCATTTTTACAGATCTAGGCCTTCAAGTTAATTTATGATTTTGTGCATCATGTAAACTCAGAAATCTGTGTTTATGCTGTACGATGGTGAAAAATGCTAGACAAACTTTATGGTCAGAACTGCAACCCCATCTGACGGCTTACCATACAAAACCAAATTTTGAGTTTCAAGGCTTCATTACAGAATAATCTGCTACGTATTGTTCTACAGCAGGCCACAGATGATACCAGAAAGGTCCTATCTCTTATTTTCACCAAGGACAGTGTTCTGCTTGAAAGACTATCCTGGCTAAATCTGTTCTAAATATAAAGAATTGTAAGTAAGAAAGAATCCCTAAATTTGCTCATCAACAACTGGTAGATACATCTCCTGATTTCTGTTGGAATTACATTAGTCTTTTCAAGTAGTTTGTCACCCTGTTTCTCATTGACCTCAAAGCCCCACAGTTTCTGCATTAAGTGTGTTATAGGAATGAATCACTAAAAATATTAAATCAAGGAAACAAATGCATCGAAAACCTGAGAAACTTCTATAAAGCAGGAAATGGTCTGAGGCCTGAGAATGTTCATGTTCTGTAGTATTATTAATCAGCATAAATTATTAGTTTTTCAAAATATTTGACTCTGCTTAAAGAGGTGTTTTCAGTTATACTGAGTTCCTGGAATAAACTCAGAAGGAAAAGAATAAAGCCAAATTTAAAAGTTTATCAGTCTTGACTTAATGTGTACTATCAAAGGCATAAAAGGGTAGATTTAAAATTCCATTGTAGCAATGAGTAAGCTATCACTGCTGGAATTAACTTTTGTTCATAGTCCTGGACATGGGCTCTGTCCATGACTTAGCAATCTAAAGAACATAGGAGTTTATGAACACATTTTTTTCTAAAAATACACAGACAACTGGAAGTGCTACCAATGTAAATGTAAAAATCAGAATGAATCAGGCAGATGGGATCCTACCAGAATCTTACAATGAATGTATTAATTGTAAATGAGTATAAAGAACAAATCATACGATCCACAGCTAAGGGGAGTAGATGTTGTCTAGCGTAATGAAGAAAATGTCTAGGGGTAACATAATAGCTGTCTTCTGGTACTTGACGAGCTGTCAAAGAGAAGAAGAGGTCTACTATTCAAAGCATTTGAGGTAAGACAAGCAATGGATGGAAGCATGTGGAAGAAAGATCCAATTTTGAACCAAGGAGAAACTTCCTGACAGTGAAAACAATTAATCAATGGAACAACTTGCTTCCTGGAGTTGTGGGTGCTCCATTTACTTGTCC